TCAGCTGAGTGAAGATGAAATAAAACCCCAGCTGCATCTCTCTGATAAAAACTTCAACTGAAGCCTCATATATTTTGTAGATACTAAAGATCTCATGGCTCTTTGAAGACGAGTGTTGTATTAATCATTGTGGTTGCTCAGATTATTTCCTCGTTTTTAACATTGCTCAAGCCCTCTACCACAGAGCCACCATTCCTGTATCCAGGGTAGTGAGACCCTCAGAGATATCCTAGATTCCTCTGGATAGCCACTTCCTCCTTCCTTGCAACTTACCTCCAGCTCCAGCTCCCTAAGTCTAAGGAGTCTAAGGGAATCTCCCCATTTTTAACTTTTTTACCCAAAACATGCTTAAGCAGAAATCACCTGAACGCATATTTGAATAGCATTCTGTTCTAATCCAAATATTATTCTACAAGGTACATTTTAAAGTCTGTTTTTTCATATATCACACTGGAGGGAGAGAGAGAGAGAGAGAGAGAGAGAGAGAGAGAGAGAGAGAGAATATAACTCAAACTGAATCTGTAAAAAAAAAAAATCATAGGGCAAAGAAAATACCTTGGTCTAATTTTTCTCCTGATTCTATAATTATTTCAAAGCCAAATACAGGTTCCTAAAGTATCAGAGTGGAAAGCAGCCCTAATGCACCAGAACAGCTCATTTCACAATTGGGGAAACTGAGGCTCATAAGAGAAGTCATACATATACCAGTAAGGAGAACAGTTAGGTCTCTATTTGGGTCTTGCTTGGTAATATGTGAACAATGTGTCTGTTCTCAAAAGGCAGTAACTATTGCAATCAGTTGGGAACTCAAGAATAGCTGACATATGGGACCGTCCATGACTTGTCGCCAGTCCCCTTCTAGCCTGTGGGCAGGGAGATAGGTTTCATTTGCCTGTTGTCTGCTCATCGCACTCATCCCCATGCAGGGGTAGAGGAAGCAAGAGGGTATGTTGACTTTTATCAAGAGCCTGCACGCTGGGCATTTAGTTTGAGCTTTCTCCCTCTACCTTCAGGCAATTGTATGCATGGCTCCAATGTGCAGGTGAGGCTCAGTCAAGGGCACTCATTTTCCTAAGGACACACACAACAGAGCCCAATAATTGATAATACTACTGTAGAGGTTACTTCAGAGGAAGGAACTATTAATGTTACCTTGGGGAGTAGGAAACAACATTCTAGTTGAATCTTCTAGGACGGGATGGTATTTGCATGCAGAGGACAATTTGTGGGCAGAGGTGCTAAGGTCCCAGTAAATATTTAGGATGGTATTTGCGCACAGAGGACAATTTGTGTGCAGAGCTCCTAAGACCCCAGTAAATATTTCCTCCATGTTCACAGTCCAGGGAGGGAGAAAATGTGCAAAGGCCCTGAAGAGAGAAGCTTTAAAACCCCACAGGAAGCTCTTTCCAAGTATTTTGCAAAGGGGATGGTTGTTCATCCCCTTCTTAGGAAATCATTCAACCTAGCCCGGCCTGCCAGCCACCCTGCAGCCAGGAGCTCTGATGTGTGCTATTATATAGAGTGCAGGAATGTGAAAGGCACCACATAAAGTCAAATTCTCTTCTATTTTAAGTTGAGTGGTGCACCAGTTCAGCTTTAAAACCTAATTTCTTAAAAGTTTCAAAGGGGAAAAAAATGTTCCTTTGCAATTGGAATCGAGTCCACATAAATTAGCAGGCGAGCTCTGCGTATCCATCTTTCCGAACTTTCCTGGATTGTTCATTTTAATCAAGCGGCCCACATTCTTGACTTTTCATCCTTCACTGCCCAGAATGATGCACTGCGGCTACTGATGACACGCAAATGTTAATTTTGTTCAAGTTCAAACATCATCCAAAAAGGGCCTATTTTAAAGACTGCTTTGCAAACACCAGCTGAAAATGAGGATGAACGGAATCAAACACCGCCAAGAAATTCAGAGGAGGAAAAGCTGTGGTCTTATGGAAACTCACAAGTTTTTTTGTCTCTAGATCCTCAACCTCTCCAAGGCTGAGAGTAGAATCCTTGATGTCTAGAGCTGGAAGGGAAATCAGATTTCACCCCGGCCCTGCCCAAGGTCATTCAGTGTGGTAGGGAAGGGACGAGATAATTCAACTCTCCTCCTGGGTAAAGGAGCCTTCATAAAATGTGAAACCAGTGAAACCATGCATTTCAAGTCTTTTTGTCATTTAGTCGGTTTTGGGAACAGCAGGATACATCACACACACACACACACACACAGGCACACCACAGGCTTATTTTAGAGCTCTGGCTCACCCCTTAACCAACTACCCTTCCCTCTATTCCATCTCCTCCAGTACCGGATGTCACTATTGCCCAGGGAGGGCACAAGAGTGACCGTTGTTCAGAGGTGCGTCAACCGGAATTGTGTACTTAAATAAGGGGAAATCAGCCAAGTTCCTATTTCTTCAGAGCTGAAATTGTCTGAGACTTGGCAGCCGCTTGTTTGCCTTTTGCACCCAATGAAGCTGCACAAGAAAAGGACATCATGTATATGAGTCACTACCGCATCCCCCTGGAGCCTAAAACAGGGCCTTGGTGCCTCGTGAGCACCCAGTGAATATTTCTGAACAAATGAAGAAATGAAATCACTCTGGTCTATTTTTCACCAGGATCCTTCAAAGCAGGACCGTACTATGGAAGGTCTCAGCATAGAGGTTAGAGATCGGAGGGTCCCTAAGACATTGAGTGCCATCTCACAGCAACATGGCCCTAGAGAATAAATCCATCTGAAAGCCGTGGTCCCAGGGATCTCAATGGCCTTGCCTCTAGAACACCAGCCACATGTAAACAAGCCATCAGCAGTGACAAGGACCAGTTTCCGTGGCCCATCGGACTAAACTGTTCACAGTGGCGGCCCATCTTCTGAAAGAACAGAAGAGACACTTCCACTGCAACGTCAAGAAAAAAATGACTGTCGCTATTCCCTGAGCGATAACAGCCGCTCTTGAAATGCAGGACATGTTTCATTTGGCTTATAATAATTGTGTACTGTCTTTTAACCCTCAAAGTGTTAAGTATTGTCATATCCTCTGGGGATGAAAAGATCTGGGGTTAACAACTTTCTCTTTTAAAAATTCATAAAGGTGCAAATAAACAGCATTGCATCCAGTGGCTATGCATTGCAAGAAGCCAAGGGAGAAAGAGGGAAAAAAAGACGACAACAACAACATTACCCCCCACAGGATACTTGGCAATTAACTGCAGCTATGTCAGCAATTTTTTGAAAAATTTCCTAAACATGGAGAAGACTCATCCTCACCATATGAAAAACAAAGCTACTGCAGTGACTCTCCCATGCATTACAATGTGTGTGTCTTACTTCTTAACCAAGCCGCTAATCACGCAAATTATTGCAACTAATTACATTTGAAGGTCTAATTAATTCTTTCAGTACCACATCATTTAGTACGCATTCACAACACAGCACCTGTTTTGAAAATCCTTGCAGTTAATTTGTTTATAAACAAACACTATTTGCATAAAATGTTTAATGAATGGTTTAACAGTTAGTACAATACTCCAGTTTTGTCTTCGTAGATCTGAGGTCATCAAAGGCCACGATAAATTAATTTTAAACTATACAAATTAATTTAAATAGAATGTGTGAATTTCTCATTAATAAAGAAAACATTTTCAACATGTTAATTAATATCTCTGTAACAGGCTAATTACTTCCTGCACAACAAGTACATCTTACAAGCAAACCTGAAAGATTTGGGGGGCAAAGGGGTGGGGCCTGTTTTAAAACTGCAAAACAAAAAGTGCAAATCAGAAAAAGCACACGCAGCCCGATTATACTGGAGAATTCACCACTTAGGACAGGCAAACCAAGAAAAGAAGCTATTGCCTTATGTTACAAATACAACACATTTTAGTCATCGAGAATGGGACGGTTGAAAACCGTTTCTATCACAGGTGCAGTTACGCTGCAAAGATGGTTAGATGATGTCTGCCTTCTGGTAGAAAGACACAATTCATGAAAATATTAGTTCTCAGAGTGAAGATCTCTCCTTTGAATGTAGGGCATATTAGCTGTGTTTGTAACCCAGTGGTAAATACGGATTTCATTAAACAAATCTGCATCTTCACACCAGTGTCTGAGGCTCAGCCATCATCATTCTCCCCGTGGCAAACCATGGAAAGACACTTCATGTAGAAACTAAAGAGGAACAACATTATAGCCCAACATCAAGCACAGCCCTTGCAAAAGCCGTCACTGAGATATGTTCACCCTTAAGTTTGTTTCTGATTTGCAAGCATTTTCACATTTGATAAGCACCTGTTGTAAATTTACATCCACGCAGGAAGTATTCTTATGCTAGGGAGCTGAGAATTGTAAAGCATGTTTATACTCTTACCCTTGTGTGGTGTTGCCCCTTAATGCACAGGCTGATAAAATGACTAGCTACACAGGACCCAGAGGGATGTGCCGCTCCACCTGGTTCCCGCCGCATCTGCCCCCAAGGAGCCACTAGTCCCTTCCTCCTGGAACAGGTTTTGTCAGCACTGATCAACAAGCACTTGGTTTTTGTTTTAAGTTTGTTAATTTGGAGAGGACGTGGAGAGACGGGGGAACAAGGAGGGGAGAGAGAGAGAGAAGGGAGAGAGAGAGAAGGGAGAGAGAGAGAGAGTGTGTGTATGTGTGTGTTCAGGGTGTGGGGGTAGAACGACAGAAAGACAAAAGGAAGCGCAAATACAAACTTCCCAACACTTGTCTGGGACCTGCCAATGTATTTCCAAGAAAACAATGGAAAAATAGTAGGAGTTCCATCCTGATAGCACCAGGGGAAAAGAAGAATTTGCCCAACCTCTGATTGGACCCAGATTTCCAGGATGGTGCTGCTCCTCGTTACAAAACACTTGGCCACCTGGCCCCTTGGTCCTGATATTTCCTTGGAGGTGTATATAGAATAAGATTATCCCAAGCACCCTGCCCCCAAACTACCCCGGTGAACCCAGTACGGTGTGAAAATCCCTTTGCTTTACTCTTTTGCCAGATAAATGCCAGCCAGCATCCCTGTCTCTGGGGCCCTGGAGAGGCCTTCAACACACCTGGTCTCACTGCCCTGTGGCTTCAACAAAGAGGCTGAGCATCTCCTATAACCCTCGAGGTCCATGAATGACGTAGCAGAGTGATGGATTTCAGAAAAGGCAGGTGCTTCCCACTCTTTACATTTTTTTTTTTTATTCTTTCCAAGTTTCCCATCAACAGCCCTGCAGTAAAAATCCAGGGCTTCAGAGACAAACATTTCATGAGTACAGACTGTGATGAGGAAAAGCAAGCCTTCCCTCTCTATCTATCAGGACCCTGGTGCTTTGCTCTTAAAATGAAAAAAAAAAAAAAAAAAACAGTGATAACGGTTGGCACAGGACTCAGGACTACAGGCCGTTTCCGTGTTGACTTCTTTTGGCAAAGATACCCAGGACAGCCGTGTGAGGAGTTACTCCGGGTTTCGGCCCATAGCCAGCTAGGAGAAATGAGGTTCAAGGGGCAGAGGGTAAACTCCTCAGCAGAGACAGAACGGGGCAGGAGGAGGGCAGGAGGCGGGTGACTGTCAGAGAAAATGCCTCCATCCCAGAACAAGCAGAAACAGGCACACCCCTCTGAAACAGAAAAGTCAGAAAGCCTTGCAACATAGATGCAACTCAGGGACTTCCCCTTGCAGCCAGCAGCCAAGGCAGCTTCTAGGCACAGCGTGGCTGTATTTAAGCCCAACTTGGTCCCTAACTTCTCTCCAAAGCTGGTCAAGGTGCCCCACCCGAAGCATCCAGATGACAGGCTCCTGCCTCCCCTCTTGCACGAAATCATTCCCGGATGTAGAGCCTGGCTTCTTCTCTCTCCCCATTAAAAATCACCAGCGTTTCGCAAATAAAGGCGATCACCATGTGAAAAATTATCTTTTAAAATGGAGTTTAATTTGCATATAAGGAACGAGAGATTTATGACAAGCAACATCGTCCAGTACTGCATCTGCCTAGTATCAGTCGTAATTTAGATTGTTTGTGACTGATCTTAAATTCTAAAGCTTGGAGAAGATGAAGTACTCTGTTGCTGTATTATTGTCAGGAGTCTAAGACTTACCAGAGATTTATTAGTAATCTTATCACAAACATGTCTCAAGTTTTTGCTTTTAATATGTGCCAAGCTCCTCTGAGGAATTTTCCTCACTGCAATTATATTCCTCAATGCCTGCATTCTGAAGCTGAGTTGATTTCCTTCCCAAAATAAAGCGACCTATCATTACACCACAGCCGCTCTTGTACATTTTTCCTCTGCTACTTAATAATCAATGTATTCATCATTAAAATCTGAGCCCTGAAGCAATGGTTTTTAGCATATTCTAATGACTAGCGACTTGCAAATTACAATGACCTTTCATGTACATTCTGAAAGCACCTTGTTCTAATGTGTACTGTATTTATAGTTTGCCAATACAAACTAGCCAAAGATTGGATAATTACTGTAATCTATTAGCTCGATTGCTTTCCCTGCTCATTTATAGCATGTGCCACGCAGGCCATTTTCAAAAACTGGCCTATCTTTCATCTCCCGCAAGCTCAGAAAGTAAGGGATACTTCATCTTCACAATATACACACTTACTAATGTCTGAAGAGCAGCCCCATCTCAGCTCAAGGAGGTTTCAAAAATAAAAAACCTTCTTTCCTATTAGTGTCATAATGCTATTTGTGACTGACAAAAAACACCGCTCCGAGAGTGTAAACTTTCGTTGAAGAATGTCAAGGCCAGTCCCATTTTCTGCCCATTACTCTGACCTCCAAATAGCATTTAATAAGATCTGCTTTGAAAGAAAAAGATAAAGGCACTTCCCTTAAACAAGAAACAATTTTTTTGTTATAAATAAATGTTTCAAGTGAAGAATTAAACTTTTTCTTTTCTTCTTTTTCTTTTTCTTTTCCTTTTTTTTTTTTTTTTTTTTTTTAAGCACACTGCTGTTACAACTCCAGTACCGATAAGGAAGCTGCGTGTGGAAGTATGAGCTCGGGTCGCCTTCTGACCCTCTGTGACGGTCTATTTCAGGCAGTTATGGATAGATAACATTACAGACACTGGTAATTAAAACAACACTAATTTTGTCTCTGTGGCCACGCTTTGTTGTTAGAAGCCATCTATCATGGCCTTCACGCATCACACAATGAGAAGACATTTGTCTACGTACATTGTGCTTGGTCAACGGTTTTACGGATCTCCCCGCGTACCTGGACACCCAGGCACTTTTAAAGACGTACTGCCTTCATTTCTACTCTATTACTCTGATTAATAAAACATTTTGCATGCTTCGTCAAAACACCCTGCAAGCTTTTCACCACATATATTCATGGGGGGAAAGCAATGTTAATTTCTTTCCCTTTCAGAAGGAAACTAACAACAACAACAAAAGAAATTCTCTTTTGGATTGGAAGAGAGAAAGAAAAATTCAAATATGGAAATACTTGTCTTCCCTGTACAACAGAGTCCAGCCTAATGAAAAGCATAATATTAAAACACACACACAATGCCGAGCATCTCCTTTAAGGCTACACGTATTTTTGACTATATGTATCGTTAGTTCTTTTCTGTACATTCACTTGCTTGATTTATGGACACTCAATTTCACTTCACCTTTTATTACAAGATCTACAGTTACATTAAGAGTAATAGCAAGTCAAATGTTTCTATATTTGAGCGATTAAAAAAAAAAAGAAAAGAAAAGATCTTTTCCATAGGCCCTTATAGGAAATTAGAGGTAGCCAAAATGCAAGATGACTCGCTTAGTTCTGTTACAATCAACTAAAAAGAAACTATAATGGTGCATTTCAAGGCATCTTTAACAAGTGACACAAACAAGAGAAGAAACAGACAGGACCATTTAACTTCAAACTCCACCGAAGAGAGCCGAATTGTAAGCTTCCTATAGCAAGCCCGGCTGGCGGCTATGTGGCAGTCTTCATTTCTCAGCGGAAAAGCCACTCCCTTGAGACTCTCCAGGCACCCCCAACTGCATTTTTTATCAAGTGTCTAAAAGGTAGGAGTTGTTAGAATTCTTTTCTCTATTCACAGATGATCACAGTCCTTTTTTCCCCTTTAGCTTGCAGACGCACATGTAGTTTCAAATATTAGCTAGAACTCCAGCCCTCACCAGCCCCTAATTGCTCTCTCAGGGAAGGTATCATAAACGCAGGTATGGCTGACACAGATGTAGCTTCAACTTTATGCAGGCAGGAATGCTACATCAAAGCTATTTGCAAAGTGACATAACTAGTTATTTAAAAGAACATTTTTATTATATTCCTTGGAATTTGCATTCTTCTAGAAACCAAGTGTATTTTTTAATGCAGCCACAGAAATGTTGGGGCAATTGACCATTCATGATGTCTGCAAAGGAAAGGCATCTAAATATTTTTCAAGCCACTTTAATAAATTTGAGTGCGTCTGTCTGTCACTACATGTAACCTGATTATTTAAATAAGTTAATATTAGCACGTCTCTTTTGCCAGCTGCTGTAAGCAGTCGGCTGCTGTCATTAAGCAAAAAGGCCGAGACAATGTGAGTTTATCTGGTCCTACCTGCATTTCTACTCGTCGCTCGACTGAAACAAATGGGAAAGAAAAACTTACTGACTTTTGGCGAACTACAAAGGTTAACTCTATTCATCATGGAGAAACTGATGCTAAGTGCTTTCTGTCTGTCCATATATTTTAAAGATTTAGAAGGAACCTGGTAGCGTTCTTAGGAGACAGAAGACAGGAGTGTTCATCTTCGCCATATGCAGAGTGTCTCTTGCAGTTTTCTCTTTACCTCACTGGCACTGCCTGAAATCCTTCTTAGATCATAGAGTTTTGGAAACAAGGTTATTTTTCAATGAGTTAAAAAGCCAAAGCTTTTCTTTCTTAGGATCTTTAACTCTTTTAAGGTAAGTGGCAGGGTTTGAAGGAGTTAACCCTTTGAGGAGAAGGAGCTCAATAGCTTGCAATGATAAGAAGAGAATTCTCATCACCCAGGTTGCAATAAAACGTGCCTCTCCCAACACCAGTAAAGCCCACCCTGGAGATTTCTAGCCACTGCTGGAAGGCAGTGGAAGGTAAACCCAGAGGAAACACAAGATAAAGGCAACCAGGTGGCCTGGTTCTTAAATCTTAAAGCAACAGTTCCAAAGTTGAGAGCCCGCATTGCAATCTATTGCACAGCCTGACAGGAGAAGGGACGAGGAAGTTCAGAACCTGGCAATTGGAGTGTTTCCCAGCGCCGGGTCCCACCGTGCATCGCACCGAACAAGAAATCTTTTTCACTTTCTATAACTCATTTGCATGAATTTACTTTTTTGCCTTAAGAGGTTGTTGTAATGTGTGTTAAAACACACAGTGCAATTTTATCTCCATAATATCACAAAAGAAATATTATGTTAGTATAAAGTTAAAAAAAATGCTGCGAGATCTTGCAGCACGGCGAACGGCAAAGCGTTGCTCAAAAGCGCCACCCAAAGGCAGGAGGGGTGTAACGGCATTCAGGGAGGGATCGTTTTTGTTAATTTCAGCAATCCGAATGTAAAAAATGACAGCGCCACGCAAGTTGACGGAGGCTTTTGATTGAATTGACTGATTGCCTCAGCTGCACCTGCGGAAAATTGATGACAATGCTGTCTAAACCATTCATTAGGATTTGAAACTTCACGCAGATGAATGCTGGATTCATAAATTTGCTAGACATGTGTTGTAGATAATATGACAAAGCACTGTTTTCAAATGAACATTTCTTTGACCTAATTTTATCAAAATCATGCAAAGGAATGAAAGAACATTTGTACCCGAAATCTTTGGAACAGCTGCAACTTAGGTCTGTCTCTCCATCTCTCCCTCTCTCTTTCTCTCTCTCTTTACCTTGTCTTTCAAATAAATTTAAATGAACTATATTGTTTGAAATATATCTTCTAGTTTATTTACATTATTTGTTAGAATGGCAAAACATTTATTTTTACTTATTATGAACAATGTTACTCTCTGCCAGATGAAGGAAAATCATTTTGAGATTTTTTTTCAAGCTCCAAATTTGCTAAATTGAACACAAGTGGTAAGTAGATTTTTTTCAAATAATATTAATAACGCGATCTCCACAGACATGTTGGGGGGAACCGTTTCAGTACCAACTGGACATGCATTCTGTGAGAATTGGACTTCTTGCAGGCTTTGAAGGGAAAAGAAATCCCTGTAAAATATTGACGCTTTTGGTCAAAAATGGCGAAACCAGGAAAAACTGACATCTGTGTACATTGTATATAAGATTTCTGACTTGCTCTCGATTTTAATGTATCAAAACACTATCAATATTGAATGAAGCTTTCTCTGTGTGTCCAAGAAAGAAAAACAAGATGTCTGAGAAGGGGAAGGGAGCACCGTTTTCATACCTGGCTTGGCTTAGCTGCACGAGAGAAGAAAAGGCCGTGGCTGAATCCATCTCCAGGAGCAGCTGTCCCCCTGCACCGTTTGAATTGCGAGGAAAGAGTTACATTTTTAGAAAAGAATACCTGGTATTTAAGAATTCGAATTTCTCAAATTTCTCAATGTGGAAATAGATCTCACTTCTACAACAAGGACCCTCTGCTTAGTACTTGGACTCCCCCCCAAAAAAACAAAATGAATATTTATTAACGTAAGAAGAACCTGGCGCAGGTCGGCCCATGCATCCCAATCTGCCAAAACGCTTCCAAATCTCTTCCCTGGCATTTAAAAGAAATCTATTTTTATACATTCTCATGAATTTGGGTTTTACTACCAGTAAGGTAATTTCTGATTAGGCATCTTGGGTTTATCTCTCTCTCTCTCTTTTTTATCTCTTTTCCTAAAGAATCCCAGAAAACATACCTGAGGTGCTTGCATTAACCCCACACCTGGATAGAGAGAAACTGCAGGTGTGAACGGCAAGGCTAATAGACTTGAGTTTTGCCACGCAATTTTTTTTTTGACCATTCTAACAGTTACTTTGAACTGGAAAACATTATTCCAACAATCCAAACAAGGCTCTTTAAGAGTGCTATGCCCAAGCTGCTACAGATACAAAATTATCAAGTAGATATGTGAAAACCCCTAAATGCAGAACAATCTGGGTTGGCTTCTAATTGCTATGTTTCATTTTCTAATGGGGAAAATGTGTAAAACAAATAACTGGGTATTGGGAGCTCTGAGCAGTAAAAGCAGAACATTCTTGTATTTCAGTAAATCATATAACTCTACAGATGGGTTTGGAAAGCCTGAAGCCCCAACCACCTTTCCGACTATTTGGATCCAGCGTTTGCTTCGAATTCCACACAATATGCTTAAAACAAGTTCCCTGTTTGTCTTGGATGGCCTTTGCAATGAGAACCCCAGGCCTGCAAGACCTCGGAGATTCATTGACCTCACCAGCCCACCCACAAAGAAAGATACGTGGATACTCCCTGTATTGCCCAGCCCTGGCTACAATGGCAGGGAGGAGCAGGGAAACAGCCTCCCATCAAAGATGTTACAATCTGGTCAATGTACACTGGGGTAGGACATGCAGGGAGTCAAATATACATCAATTTCTGGCAACGCACAGCAAGAGGGACATCAACTCAAGGTTAATTCTTAGCTCTTACAGAACGGGAGGGACTTGGACATAGTTAAGCAGCAAAAGCTTTGGGGGAGGAGGTGGCAGAGGGTGCGTAGGGCAGAGATGTGTATATATGTGAGCCTCCAGGGATGCACACTGTGCCTGGCTCTTCCTCCCTTGGTTACTACCCTTTCTGTTCTTCTGGTAGGGTTCAGCCAGGAATACACAAGCGTGGGCCAAGGAGCACCCAGCCTTCCTGTGCTCACCCACGCATATGTCCTGCCTGACCTGGGCAGTCACCTGAGTTTTTAGCCCTTGGAGATGCACCTGCCACCCTC